TTAAATAAAAGACACCCTCACAAAGCCTCCTTGAGACAACTCTAGATTAAGTATTAAGAATCCTGGTTTTGGCCTGGCCTGCGTGGTTCAGTGGTTGAGTGAACCAGGAGGTCACGGTTCAATTCCCTGTCAGGGCACTAGCCCAGGTTGCAGGCTAGATCCCCAGGGTGGGTGGCAGGAGGCAGCTGACCGACGATTCTCTCTCATCGTCGATGTTTCTATCTCTCTCTCCCTCTCCCTTCCTCTCTGAAATCAATAAATATATACATATTAAAAAAAAAAAGAATCCTGGTTTTGAAGAGTGGCTCCACCAGTTACTAGTTTCATGTCTTAGGGCAAGTCATTTAATTAAAATAATGCAACTGGTTTAGAAAAAAAGACAGCTAGAGTCCCCTTTAATTCTTAACGTTTTAAGTCTTGTCTGAATCCTTTACAGTGAACATCAAGCGAGATACTGTGTGAAAGCCCTGAGGCAGGACCACACATTGGAAAGAGTACATACAGTACTTTATAGATCAGACGCACCTGGTTCAAGCTCTTGCTCTACTTAACAAAATCTGTGACCTCAGGCAAATTACTTAACCCCAAGCCTGATTTCATCAACCCTGAGTCACAAGGTTATTCTAAGAATTAAATGAAATAATCTAACCTTAAATCCTTTCTGGAACAAGATGACAGATGAATTTATTGCCAATGTAAGAAACACTCAAACTTGTAGCCAAACTGATGACAGTTGCTGTTTGTCAGGCAAAATCTCAACGGATCGAGAAAATGCTCTGGAAAATAGTTTTGTACCTTATTTTATAAATTACAGTCAAAAGAGAAGGCGGAAATGGATTACATGACATGTATTGGTGATCGATTAGGGAGGTAGGAGAAAGCAAATCGGCGGCTGGTGAGACCTCTGGGATTAGATAAAAAGTAAAATGATACACTTCTTTTACACAGGTGGGTACAGGATAGTTCACAGTCAACAACATAACATTAGCAGTGAGGGGATCTGTGGCCCCAAGCTACTCTGACATTCCAAAGGAATGTTATTATAGATGCAAATAGACAATAGACAGGTTCAGTTAAGGTAAAGACTGAGTTTTGTTGGGGAAGATTCTAGCCAAGGGCATGACCACCTGCCATGTACTGCTTAAAGAGTTTTAATTTCAGACCATCATCTTATGTGGTTACTTTAGGTCTGGAGTTTGTAAGGCTGCCGTGCAGGCCTTGCCTGAGCTTGTCAGGTTTAGTATGTGGCCCCTCTTCGTCCGCATTCTAAATAAAAAATAATTGAGATAATTACATAAAGTACTTGGTCCTTACAAGTGCTCAATAAATGACAAAAAAAAAAAGTCATTTTGAACTCAAAATGCTACACAATTATTAATGTGTTCTTATTTATCTATAAGTTGGAGGCAGTCTCAATCCCACACTCTCTTTCAAACCTCTATTTGCCTCTATCTAACATGACATTCCCTAGGGGAGTGGGAAAGGGGGGTGGTTAGTTAAGAGTAAAAGGGCCCTGGCTGGTGTGGCTCAGTTGGTTGAGCGGTGTCCTGAACTCTGACAGGTCACTGGCCGGATTCCTGGTCAGAGCACATACCCAGGTTGATCCGATTCCTGGTCAGAGCACATACCCAGGTTGATCCAGGGCGTGTACAGGAAGCAACTAATTGATGTTTTTCCTCACATCGATGTTTCTCTCTCCTCTCCCTTCTTCTCCCTCTAAATTCAATTTAAAAAGAGAGAGAGAGAGTAAAAGGGAAGCTTACTCTTTGTGAAGGTGACAGGAGTGATTAAAAGACAAAGAAAGGGGTTTGTTTTCCCTTAGGAGCTAGGAGTCTTTAGAGTTCTTGAATGTTTGTCAGGCCAGAGGTTAAAGACAAGAGAAATGCAACCAGTCCCTCATCTGACTGGTACCAAGTGCTGGGCGCTTCGCCCCCTACGCAGCCTCCTCCAGTCAAGCAAACAAGTCCCCACCGCCTTTCCTATTGGCACTGGGCCTGACCAGGGCGGGGAGGGAGCAGGTAGAGACGATCGAACTTGCAAAACTGCTGGACTGAGCCCTCACTTTGCTGCTTGCTCCTCCGGGACCTGCCCCTTTTCTCCCCCGCACCCCACAAGTGTTTGCACCCTGTTTTCAAGACAGGAGTTTACAAGGTTTTTTCTTCCTCCCAGCCAGGAACTGAGAAAGAGGAATCCGGGGGCAGATTTTTATCTGAATTCCAGGCTATTGGGTGAAAGGTCGCAAACAACTCTGTCCAGGAGGGTTCCCTTCCAGAACATGCCTTGGCTGCAGGCCTGGCTGGCAGCTGCTGCCAAACCGAAATAGTTTTTTGGCATTTAAGGAAACCCAGACATTTCACAGAGCAAACAAGAGGTCTGTACTGAAAGAAAGAAGAAACTAAAACCCAAGAGAGGAACTTAGAGCAAGAGAAAATCGTATTAAATTTTTTAAAATTAAAAAATTCAATACTTCATAGGTGTGCCCAAATACTTCCCTTTTTCTAAGATGTCCCAACTCAACACCACCCTGATGGACTAATACTTCTTCCATCCCCTCAAAATGTACCTAATTACATATCACACATTATCTAACAACATTGATTTGTGTATTTCTTTGTAATCATTTTGATGTTTCATTTTATGTACACTTTCATGCCCAAACTAAAAATCCTCCCAGAGCCATATATTGAATTAAAAAAAAATTTTTTTTTAGTGAAAGTCACACCTTTGCTACTCCAGATAATTCAATGAATATTGTGACTGACCCAAAACAACTCAGGCCTCATTGGTTAACTTTCTAGAACAGGGTGTTACCTTTAACTCATACACCCTAAGGATCGACATGTTCCCTTTTTTGTTCGTGGGAATTGATGCTGTGTGTGTATATATGTATGTGTTGTGTATGTATGTGTGTGTGTGTTTCCAACAGTCTTGATGCCCGATTCTTGGGCTTAATACTGAGGTCGAATTGTAACTTGTTAGCCTTAGGATGTCAACCGAGTTAGGGGGTTTGAGGAAGGATTCTTAACAGCAATGAAAAGCCTTTTTTTTTTGCTGATAGGGTAGAATTTCTGTATGTTCTAATGCTTTTTACTCACTTCCTCATCTCAATCTTGGGGACATTATCTTCCTCTTTCTAGTACAAGAAATGAGGTAATAATCACCTGATGCCCGACAGGAACCTGAGGGGCTCAAGAATCAAGGAAAAGGTGAAGAATCCCAGCAACTGTGCATGCAAATTTTTCTCATCACACTTGTCAGTTCTCAGGAGTCAGCTCCTGACCTAAGGCATTTCATGGCCAGCCAGGGAGAGGCCCATGTGACAGACAAACGACACCAACACCAACGACGGCAGAGTTAGGGTCTCCTTTGGTTTGACCTATCACCTTCTGATGACCCTTCTGTCTTCTATTTCCTTTCTTACTAATTCAAATAGGTTAGGAAAAAACTTTTAAAAGAGAGAAATTCTTCCTGCAAATAGGAATATGACCATCTCGTCCACTAACACTTTGGTTATAAACAAGAGAACTTTCCTGTGTTTAAATATATATATATTTATTAACGAGAGAGAGAGAGAGAGAGAGAGAGAGAGAGAGAGAGATCAAGTTTTTGTTCCACTTATTTATGGGTCCATTGGTTAATTCTCGTACATGCCTGACTAGGGATCAAACCCACCACCTCGGTGTATTGGGACAATGCCCTAACCAAGGACACACCAGGCCAGGGCGAGAACGGAGAACTTCCCTGCTTTTAACCACCTTGGAGCCTGGGAGCGGGGTGGGCTACAGATTTAGGGACACGCCTTTGATTAACGATTTGAAGAGGCGATGAAGACCAAAAAGAAGCGAAAGTAACCCAGGAAGAAAGGGAAAAGAGTGAACCATCCGTTCTTGCCGCTTTCCTGGAAAAGCAACGAGGGAGATAATGAGAACCTAAGGGTCACGCCTCAGTGAAGAGGTCAGGAGGTAGTTGGGGAAGCAGACACCGTGTTCCCCAACTTTGCAGGTAGGAACTGCAGCGATGAGGGATCAGCAACAGGATGTGAACACGCCCTGACTGTTTCCGTTCCAGAGAACAGACTGCAGGGTACGGGGTGAAGAACAGGGTACAGGGATGAAGAACAGCACAAGGGGGGGGGGTCCCTCCCACACACCCGCTTCCCAAGGACTTGGAAAGAGGTTTAAAACTGGTGGCCGGTTCTCCTTGCCTTGAATGTCTTTGCTTGTTAATAAAGATGCCGACCCCGTCCCCAGCCCCCGCTACCGTGTCCTTAGAGCTGCGGGATAGGTTTTCGCACGACCTGCAGCTGGGAATGCGCGGCGCCTCTGCACCCACCGCCCCGGCCGAGGCGAGCGCGAAACTCCCTCCTCAGCACTTTTCCGTTGCCTCCAACCGCGCCCCAGCCCAG